GATGAGCTGTTGTAGTTAGCGTCTGAATGACTCAACTGAATAAACTTTTGATCCATTTTACGCCTTATTCAGATTATCTCAATAACAGAACAAATTTGTTAAACATGAAATCCTTATTAATTCAGTTATGTCTAAATCGAGTGTACATGACATTCTGATCAGTATGGCTGGTCAACTTCAGAGAAAGTATCTCGAAAAGTATAAATGTGAAATGCAAAATATGAATTTCTAATTTTGCTGTGATGTTGAACAATCGAAAATGCGAGATTCAAAAGTCTTAAATTCCTAAAAATGGCGAATCTTACTGAACCTAAAGCTGAAAGAGAGATGGATGCCAATGAATGAAATACGGTCTGTTCAGTGATAAGGTGGATGTGAACACAAGTAATCAGGTATCAAAACTGCTGTTTCAATAAACAAGCAAATAAATGAATGTAGTCAAATGCGAATGCGCAAACCTATACGTTAGAGTAATATAAGCACTCTCTGCACGATCGAGTACTCCAACGGAGGGCCTGATTCGGAAGAGATCGTTGCTGGTGCACTTCACTTTAAACGATTGTCTTGAACGACTTCGGTTCGTTATTTTCATTATCAAACTTATCTCACCTTTCAAATTGCCACTGAATACCAGCTGAAGTTCTCCAATCGAAATGAGTTCACTTTTGTTAAGTTCATTTACAATATTACTTATTTATGGCTGAGTAGACGATACTTTCCGGTAACTGATGATTTTCAGGTAGGAAGGGAAAAAAGAATTATCCAGAAATGATTGGAATATAGGATTGGTTTTAGAAATAAGGTAGCAGTCATTGTTAATATGTTGTGCGTGATAGACCAGTGAGCATTTGCTCATCTCATCAGTGATTTGCTCATTACAGTCTTATATCCACCACTTTTTCATCCTACCTCAACTGGTTACCCATTAGAAATTGCAAGCAACTTGCACCTTAATCCGCTGTCAGTTCACTTTTCTGAATGCAACGTTACCAAAGGAATTGCACCTGTTTTCTCGGTTCTTCGTCTGATTCAGAACTACTTCCACTGCGACTGTTTGACATAACCGTATTTTCGGCCTCGATGAATCCTTGAAATCAGATTCTGGTGCCGCCGACAAGCACTGGAAGTGTCGTTATGAAATGATTTCCGTTGACTTCAGGTCGATTTTATACATTCAAGTGGCTAATGATTCTGAATAAATGCAGCAGTTTGAAAAATTCAAATTTTCTTCCAATTTTACGGTGATGGGAAATCGGAAACCAAAATTATCATCAAACGTCAAAACGACTTTAATTTCGAGTGAGCAAATTTCCGGAATTCTGATCGATTTGAGAAACGTTAGAAAGATGTAGTAGAAGTTGATTGACTCACTGTGAGGAGCTGAAGTCTTATTG